GTCAAAGGTAAAGGTCACAGTTCAGGGTTTTTTTTTTTTAATTGGTATTAGTGTCAGTGTGTTTTAGATAAAAAAAAAAAAAAAATGTGCACTATTGTTTTTTGGCTGTAGTACAGGTACAAACAAAATAACATACACATATATGTTATCGCTGCAATCGTTATGAGCTGGAAATTTATTTTGGGTTGTTCTTTGGTGGTAGGTTATGGTAATAACAAGAAACACACAGCTAAATCTAAAAAAAAAAAATGATTTTTTTTGTCCTATTTTGGGCCAGTTTTACTTTGATAATAATAAAAAAAAAAATCAGGGAGATATCCATTACCATTTACCACCAAATGAAAGCCCAGTTTGTCCTGAAAAAAAACAAGATATAATTCACCTGGATGTACAAAGTAGTTGTGATATGTACGGCTTTACGAACAGGTCAAAGTTGTAAAATTTTACTTAGGTTTTAAGATTTGTTTTACCCTTAGGTGTGAAGGGGTTAAAGTGTTACTTAACCACTTGCCCTCCTGAGGATTCCCGCCGCCCCCCCTTCCTGACCAGGCCATTTTTTGCATTACAGCACTGAGTTACTTTAACTGACATTTGCACGGTCATACAACACTGTACCCAAATTAAATTTATGTCCCTTTATGTCCTTTTATGTCCTTTTTTCCTTAAGAATTGAGCTTTCTTTTGGTGGTATTTGGTTGCCTGTGTAGTTTTTATTTTTTGCGCTATAAAAAAGGAAAAAAAAAAAAAAGACCAACAATTTTGAGAAAAACAACTATATTTTTGACATTTGCTAATAAACATGTCCAGTAAAAAAAATTTAAAAAAAAAAAAATTTTGTCATAAATTTAGGACAAAATGTATTCTGCTACATGTCTGATAAAAAAAAAAAATCCCAAAATGTGTAAATTAATTGGTTTACGGGAAAGTTATAGCATTTTCAAATGGAGGTATATATACACTGGGATTTTTTTTATTATTTTTACTAGTAATGGCGGCAATCAGTGACTTATAGCAGGACTGCGGGGGGCATTCTGACACTGGGGGGAACTGAGTTGGCGTCACTGACATCCCCAGTGATCAGTGCTGAAAAAAAAAAAAAAAAAAAGGCACTGCGGCTGTACTAATGGCACTGGGCAGGAAGGGGTTAACATGAGGGGCCATCAAAGGGTTAACCGTGTGCTCTTTCATTAAGTGCTGTGTCCGTGTGCTTCACTGTTAGCACACTGCTTTGCATGGCAGGGAGGAGAACTGTTTTGTTCACAAACAGTTCTCCTCCCGATCAGAGATGCTATGCAATCACCGGCCGGAACCCGAAGATTGACAGCCGCGGCCGCGAATGGCGGCGGGGGTAGGGTGCGTGCGCCCCCTACCTAGAAATGCAAAATCACGTAAATATACACTTGATTTTGCGCACTTGTGCCGCCTTGTAGCAGTATTTCTGCTATAGGACAGTCTGGAAGCAGTTAAAGTGTTACTAAACCCACACCACAAGTAAAATCAGTCCGTATATGCAGTAAAGCATGCCTGTTGTACTCACTGTAGAATCTAAGGGGTAAATCCTCCGCACTGCTGTTTGATCCTGACTTCTCTGATCCTCCCCTTCTACTGTCCCCAATCCATCTGCTGATAGAACAGAGCCTTGGGGGCAAGCTGCACATGCTCAGTTTGGTGTGTATTGCTAGAGAGAGTTTTTTCTTGGGAAAAGTGCATATAATCAGCACAGGGCCAATCAGCGCTGTCCAGACAGACAGTCAGAGGTTATGCAGCCTCATCAGGGGAGAATGAAAACTCCTCCTACAAGCTTTAACCAGTGCTCTGCTGGACACTGATAGGAGTCACAAGACTGCTCTAACTGCTGTTCAAAAAAGGTATTTATCAGTTTATATTTACTAAAATAATTGTGCTTTCATGTTCTGTGTATTGTGGAAGACCAGGTATAGTGAATGCAGGGTTTAGTAACACTATACCTCACTAAATCAAGATTTCCTACTTTGTCCCTCCCCCCTCCCTGCTACACAAATGCTAATATATATATATATATATATATATATATATATAGTTATATATATATATACATACACACATACATATATATACACATACACATACACACACATATACACACACACACACACATATACACACACACACACAGTCAGGTCCATAAATATTGGGACATCGACACAATTCTAACATTTTTGGCTCTATACACCACCACAATGGATTTGAAATGAAACAAACAAGATGTGCTTTAACTGCAGGCTGTCAACTTTAATTTGAGGGTATTTACATCCAAATCAGGTGAATGGTGTAGGAATTACAACAGTTTTCATATGTGCCTCCCACTTGTTAAGGGACCAAAAGTAATGGGACAGGATAATAATCATAAATCAAACTTTCACTTTTTAATGCATGGTTGCAAATCCTTTGCAGTCAATTACAGCCTGAAGTCTGGAATGCATAGACATCACCAGACGCTGGGTTTCATACCTGGTGATGCTCTGCCAGGCCTCTACTGCTACTGTCTTTAGTTCCTGCTTGTTCTTGGGGCATTTTCCCTTCAGTTTTGTCTTCAGCAAGTGAAATGCATGCTCAATCGGATTCAGGTCAGGTGATTGACTTGGCCATTGCATAACATTCCACTTCTTTCCCTTAAAAAACTCTCTGGTTGCTTTTGTAGTATGCTTTGGGTCATTGTCCATCTGCACTGTGAAGCGGCGTCCAATGAGTTCTGAAGCATTTGGCTGAATATGAGCAGATAATATTGCCCAAAAACACTTCAGAATTCATCCTGCTGCTTTTGTCAGCAGTCACATCATCAATAAATACAAGAGAACCAGTTCCATTGGCAGCCATACATGCCCACGCCATGACACTACCACCACCATGCTTCACTGATGAGGTGGTATGCTTAGGATCATGAGCAGTTCCTTTCCTTCTCCATACTCTTCTCTTCCCATCACTCTGGTACAAGTTGATCTTGGTCTCATCTGTCCATAGGATGTTGTTCCAGAACTGTGAAGGCTTTTTTAGATGTCGTTTGGCAAACTCTAATCTGGCCTTCCTGTTTTTGAGACTCACCAATGGTTTACATCTTGTGGTGAACCCTCTGTATTCACTCTGGTGAAGTCTTCTTTGATTGTTGACTTTGACACACATACACCTACCTCCTGGAGAGTGTTCTTGATCTGGCCAGCTGTTGTGAAGGGTGTTTTCTTCACCAGGGAAAGAATTCTTCGGTCATCCACCACAGTTGTTTTCCATGGTCTTCCGGGTATTTTGGCATTGCTGAGCTCACCGGTGCGTTCCTTTCTTTTTAGAATGTTCCAAACAGTTGTTTTGGCCACGCCTAATGTTTTTGCTATTTCTCTGATGGGTTTTTGTTTTGTTTTTTTCAGCCTAATGATGGCTTGCTTCACTGATAGTGACAGCTCTTTGGATCTCATCTTGAGAGTTGACAGCAACAGATTCCAAATGCAAATAGCACACCTGAAATGAACTCTGGACCTTTTTATCTGCTCATTTTAATTAGGATAATGAGGGAATAACACACACCTGGCCGTGGAACAGCTGAGAAGCCAATTATCCCATTACTTTTGGTCCCTTAACAAGTGGGAGGCACATATGCAAACTGTTGTAATTCCTACACCGTTCACCTGATTTCTATGTAAATACCCTCAAATTAAAGCTGACAGTCTGCAGTTAAAGCACATCTTGTTTGTCCTTTGTGGTGGTGTATAGAGCCAAAAATGTTAGAATTGTGTCGATGTCCCAATATTTATGGACCTGACTTGCTGCAAGGTAGCACTTCTTTTCTGCCTGCCTAGGCTGGGCCGCCAATCTTTCCATTTTATGAATTCATCAGCTAAACATCACATTTGAAATCCCGTATGTAGTATTATAATATTCCGGTACATAGGACTGGAATGTGAGGGCACCATTCCCCTCTCTAATATGGCGGCTGTTGTTCGGACGCTATAGGGAGGAGCTCTATAAATAGAACTGTCTATATCCCCTATGATTAAGTCGATGACGAAAACGCGTCAAGGGCTGTGACGTCAAGACGCTGAACCGGAAGTCGACCGGTGGCAATGTTGCAAAAGGGAAAAAGAGGATAAAGACTGTGTGTTGGTCCCTGGATGTTCCCTGATGGTAGCTTGGCAGTTTTCACGGTATTTAAAAGCGGTTTTGAATCATTTTTAAATGTGAGCAGTTTTAATAAAGTTTCTCTGTACATTACTTTGGCAGTATTACACTATTTGTCCCTCATATGCTTTCTATCTATATGGTGCCAATGATATGGGAGATATGGAAAATCCTGCTGGAATAGTGCCCTGAATACAGTGGAATCTGGGGGAGCACTCTAGGAGGATCCCATCCATAGGATAAATATTGAAAGCAGGTTTATTGAGGAGTGTTGGTAAGGGTATATATTCCTTACTATAATAGAAGTGGCACAGTGTGGATTTGTTTTTGGAGCACTGGAAGAGTGATTCACAGTACACAGTGTTTTGCACAAATTTATTATATATTTTTAATTAATTATGTTGATTCACTTGGTTCACTTTTTACACTAATTACCTGAAAATAAATTATATTTTTATTTGGATAATCACAGAATCACGAATATTTCATTATATTATAAAGATAATACACTATGTGATATTTTTCTTTCTGTTTGAGGTTTATCGTGAGAAAGGAAGGATTTCTCAGTTTTATTTTTATATTTTTTTGGAATTTTTTGGATTATATTAATTTGTTTGGACTTTTTTTAAATTAATTTTTTTTGGAATATCGATATATAGTGCTTTATGGAGTGAATTGTATAAGTATTTTATTTATGTAATTTTGGCACATTTTCATATTGCTATCTCATATCTTCAAGGGTGAAGGTTTTATTTGTGCTATGGGGAATTAAGTTTTGTTGTATATTGTTTTTTAATTTGTCACTTATTATATTTGAGAAAGTGGTAATTATAGATAAACATCACATACCTGTCCTATCTGCCAGTCAGACTTCTGTCTTCATAGATTGTGACTTCAATCTGTATTTTATGTCAAGAAACAGGATCGTTTAATCAGTTCAACATTTGCAATTATTTCCTTATCTCCTGTCAAGACAATTGTTTTGTTACCAATACACCAATTATGAACGTGTCTTGTCACTTAATAGTTGCACTGTAATAATGTATATAAAAGGGCTGTTACAGGGCACATCAGAGTCAGCTGAGTCACAATGACCTCAAGTTCTTTAAAGTGGATCTTTAGTCAGAAAATTAAGCCCTGATAGATCACTTCAAGCTGGACCCTTTTTGCAGGTATAGCTATGTAAAACATTAAAAATAAGTGCCTATACAGTTTAAAATCCAGTAATACACTGTCATTCATGATCAGATTATAAATTAGTGAAGGTAGAGCAACCCAGAATGGATCCCGTTTGATCAAAGTGCACAATGGTAGAAATCACCTCATTCAAACTTCAGGCAAGAATTTTAGCAAAGATTTTGATGTCTGAATTAATCAACAAAATAAAACATTTGGATTCATAGTAAAGATGGTTCTTATGTGGCTTGGAAATAAGTATAATTAAAGTCTTGGCCACAGAGGGTGGCAAACATCTTTCCTCAAAGGCATAAGTACGAAGCAAATGAGGGGAGCAAAACCTCCTTATACTGTAAGTACCATTCTATAGCAAAACCATCTAGGCCAGGTGTTTTGTTATGGGCAAAGGAATGCATGGTTAATTAAATTTCCTCGGTCATTAAGGGAGCATTTAATAGCAAAACCTGACTTGCAAACAACCTGGGAAGATGGATATCATTTAAGTAATCATCCAGTTCAACAATAGTATATTGTGCTCTAGTCTTACATACAGTGGATATAAAATGTCTACACGCCCCTGTTAAAATGTCCGGTTTCTGTGATGTAAAAAAAATGTGATAAAGATAAATTTCAGAACTTTTTCCACCTTTAATGTAACCTATAAACTGTACAATTCAGTTGAACAAACTTTTAAGTGGAGGGAAGTAAAAATAAAAAACTAAAATAACACGGTTTCATAAGTGTGCACACCCTTAAACTAATACTTTGTTAAAGCACCTTTTGATTTTATTACAGCGCTCAGTATGGGGAATAAAGGTCACTCTGAAGATATTCTTCTGTTCCAAATATTCTACATCTGTGCTTCTTTAAGTGGTATTCAGATTGAGGAGATAAGCAACAGTAAGAATGACCTTGAGTAATTTTATGAAATATAATGTGAAAGGTGTGAATACCCCGATTAAAAGGCATAAGATTCTTAGAAAAATCCATCAACATTCCATCGATATAGCGTTTCTGCAAGAGACATACTTATCACAAGATGCAAAAGTTAAATTATATTCTAAAACACTACCCAAGGTGGTATTACGTGGATTCAATTAAACATGCAAAAGGGGTTGCATTTGGGATGGCAAGAAATGTAAAATTTATTATGGAGGATAAGACTAGTTGATCCAGAAGGTCGTTTTTTATTTTTGAAAGGAAAATTACAAGGAATACAATGCACATTAGCAAATATTTATTAACCTAATAAGAACTCAATGACATATCTAGAGAACCTGTTAAGAAAACTTCTACATTTTAAGAATGGTTACCAGATTGTAGCAGAGGATTTTAATTTCTGCATGGACCCTTTGATGGATACATCATCGTGTGCACGGAGAGACGGGAGGTAAAAATCTGAAGTTGGTCAAGAAAATGTTACACCAGTGCCAGCTGATGGACTCATGGAGAATTAAACACCAAAGAAATAGAGATTATACCTTTTTCTCTCTGGTGCATGGGATGTACTTAAGGTTGGATTACATAATGATAGAACATAGACTTTTAGGGGTTTATTTACTAAAGCTGGAGAATCCAAAATCAGACTCCCTTCTGCATAGAAACCAATCAGCTTCTAACCTCAGCTTGTTCAATGAAGCTTTGGCAATGAAACCTGGAAGCTGATTGGTTTCTATGCAGAAGGGAGTCTGATTTTGGACTCTCCAGCTTTAGTAAATAAACCCCATAGAGTCTTTGGTAAAGTCCAAAACTGAGGTAATATCCCTATCAGATCATGCACCTGTTATAACAAGATTAAGGTTGGAAGGGCAAAGGAGTGGAGTTAGTACGTGAAGACTAATCGAGATGCTTATACAGGATGCGAAAATGGAGCAAAGAATAAAGAGAATTAGATTAATATTTTACACTCAATGAGACAGAAGAGATTTCTGTTGCTACTATTTGGAAAGCACAAAGGACTTATAGAAGGGGAATCTTAATCTCAATGGAAGCTAAAAAAAAAGAAAGAATGAAGAAATAAAAAAAGTTTATTAATTGAGGAACTATATGATTTAGAACAACTACATAAAGGAGAAAATAGAAATAGAGATACAACAGAAGATAACTAAAAAAAAGTGAAGAGTTAAATGAGTTGATGGAATAGGAAACGAGAAGAGTCTTTATTTAGTCGCAAAATAGAAATATCAGTGGAGGAATAGACCAGGAAAATATTTCATGAGAAGATTGAGGGAAAAGAAGTCAAGGAATTTATATAGAGAAAATCAAAGATAAGAATGGAGAAATGGCACATTCAACCACTGATATCGCTAAAACGTTTAAAAAATACTATAGTGATTTATATGAAATAAACTATAAAAACCCGATAAAATTAGAAGAAGAAAGAAGGAGAAAAAGACAGGTGTACTTAAAGAGAGGCTAGACCACTTAGACTAGAGGAAGGGAGATTAGCAGTATTAGATAAACCTATATCAAAGGAGGAAATCTATACAGTATTGAAGAGTACAGCTGCAGGTAGTAGCCCTGGACCAGATGGATATACGTTGAGATATTACAGGAATTTTAAAGAACAGTTGGTGCCTAAGATGTGCATGTACATGAATGCTTTAGGAGAGGGAATGGAAATGAGAGAGGAGTCATTGCAGGCATAAATTACAATTTTACCGAAAGAAGGGAAAGACCTGTCCCAAAGTGCCAGTTACAGACCCATATCGCTATTAAATATAGATACAAAATTATATGCAAAGGTTTTAGCAAATAGGATGAAAGAGTAGATGCAGGAATGGATCCATTTAGAACAGGTGGGATTTATCCCAGGGAGGGGGGAAAGGATAATGGATTGAGATCATTATTGCTTTTGCAAAAAAAAAAAAATCATCTGGCGATCGTTCTATCGATTGACGCCAAGAAAGCCTTTGATAAGGAAGATTGGGGATTTATGTTCGACACTTTGGAAGTTCTGGGAATAGGACCTAAAATGATGCAATGGATTAACCGTTATTAAGCCATTAAACATTATACCAGTTCCCCCAACAGCAGTGGTTAAGGTTAATGGCTCGCTGTCACAGTCGTTTAAAATGCACAATGGAATCAGACAGGGATCTCCACTCTCTCCCATACTTTTTGTCATATCATTGGAACCACTTCTGGAGACCATACAAAGGAATATAAATGTAAAAGGAATTGTGATAGGTGAGGTGGAGTATAAGGTAGCGGAATATGGAGATGACATGTTATTTTATATAGTGAATCCCAGAATAACTTTAATAAAAATTAAAAGAAATTATGGAGAACTATCAAATTTGAAAATTAACCTCTCAAAGTCAGAGATATTAAATATCAATATTTCAAAGAGAAACAGATATTACAGAAAACTTTTCCCTTTGTATGGAGGGAAAGGGAGTTGAGTTATTTAGGTGTAAAGTTAACTCCTGCGTTAAAGAAAATATATCAGACAAATTCCATTCCATTAATAAAGGAGTTGAAGGATGACTTGAGGAAAATATCCATCGGATCAATCTCCTGGATTGGCTGTATAAATTTGTTAAAACTGATAATAGTCCCAAAAGGTCCTGTATAAATTGCATATGCTTCCAATATATTTACCGAGGTCATTCTTTGAGATAATAAAAAAGATGATACTTAAAAGTATATGTGGGCATATAAAAGACCAAGAGTTAGGTATGAGGTACTATGTAAGGATAAATCTAAAGAGGGTCTGAACGTGCTGGATTTTAGGAGATATTATTGTACGGTATTGCTTTCAATATGATAGAAAGTACACTTAGTGAGTCACAGTTAGACAAGATTATTTGGCTTCCACAACAGTTTAGAACATTTTCTGAAAATACAAGCACTCGAACAGGAAACGTTTTCAGGATATGGGATAGAATTTATAAACAAAGAGGTCTGTAGACTTTTTATACCCACTTTACATAAGTCAGAGTAAAAGGACACAAAAGCATCCACAACATCATGGGTATGTTCAACTATAGTACCAGCAGAGGTATTAATTCAGGGAATAGCACAAGGCAGATAATCAGGTCTTAAGAGATACGCTAAAAGTCAGCTACTTTATCCCCAAACTCAAATATCACGTTGATTTTGATACAAGAGCTTTTTTTTTTTTTTTTTTTTAAGGTACATTCAAATCAGAACGAAATCCAAAGCTCTGGCCTTGGCCTGCCATGTTGAATAATTATCAGGGGAAGAGAGTTAGACAGGTGCACTTTAATCGTAGACCTACTAGTAAAAAACAAAATGCAAAACATTTTGAAAACAGTCCTTATACAACAACCGCAGTGAGATAAGAAAAGGATACCACCCGGAGCCCCCGCTCTATAGGGTCAGTGAGGAGGAGGCCTTGTGGGGCATAAATCTTCTCATTTTGCTCCTGAATATACTTTGCAATCTTCTTCAGAACCTGAGCATACAAGAAATGAAAACAAAAAGAACAAATAAACACAGAACATATAAAAAGGAAAACAAATTACATTTATACATAAAAAAAAAAAATGAACATTCCTAATAATATTAATCAATTCACAAATGGTGGACTCTACAAACTACCCATCCTTGTAAAGGCGTACTAGGGGAACATAATGGCTTGTATTGCTGGTTTTCGTCTGCCATATTTCCTAAGCTAGCTGACCCAAAGGAAGCATGCAGTGAAAGAAGACTGAACAAATCTACATGCTTATTCTAGTCTAGTGAATCTAAGTAGAGGAGCCACTGAACTGGGATGAAAGTAAGGCAACCAATATTGAGAGAGAGAGAGAGAAAAAAGAGATCAGAAACAGCAGCCTACTTACTCTTCTTAGTAACATTTTCTTTTCATGTTAAATTAGTGCTATTACAGCCTCTAAAAAAGTACAAAGCAAGCAATACCTAGTCATAACAGTAGCAAAAACGCACAGCACAGAGCTGTCATCTGGTTCCCAAATGGCCTGTAAAGAGTTTCCCAAGGATAGCAAATAAAAGGTAATTCAGACCTCCTCGATGACAAAGGTCACCAAAATAACCTCTCAAGGCTGCCTATCCCAGTGCTCTATGGGAAAATTAGAGGAATAATCTGATTGGTTGCTTTGGATCAGTGTTTCTCAGCTTCAGGCTCTCCCAATACCCCCAAAAAGGCAAGTTTTAGGCTGCAGCCACACCTCTAATTTTTATACATATGCATTTTTCATTGAAATAGCATGACAATACGTGTTGATGAGTGAGGAAAAAGCATTGCAATGCATGGTGTTGCATGTCAACAGGTTTTTTTAACAGATTGAGTTGACATGCGTTTTCATGTTACTCTAATGGAAACACATTTGTGTTAAAATGCAAAGTAGGGTTAAACCAATACTAAGCATTTGCACAAGTATCGGTACTCGTACAAGTGCTCCAATACTTGTAACCAGTACCTTCAGGCTTGGCTTTTTCAGCTGTCAGTGGGATTCCCCGGCTAACAGCAACCTTAACATCCAATGACGATTCAGCTGTCAGCTGGATTCCTCTCCCTGCTTCCTCCTTCCCTCCTACCAGCTGTCACCTCTGCCAGGTGCCTTCCCCTCCTCCTCCTGTCAGCTGTTACCTCTGCCTAGTGCTTCCCCACCTTCTCCTCCCCTCCCACCAGCTGCAAATGGTTCTCCTTGCGGTCCACGGTCCAGCAGCTTCCTGGTAGTCAGCAGTGGCTGCTGGCAGCTCTAATCTACCTGCTCCTCCGTTTTTTTCCCCATCTGTTACATCTGCACCCTTTTTCTCTGGCCAGGAGCTTGTTGTTGAGCTATCCATCTAGGATCCTCCTCACACACAGCAGCATGGACATGTGAGTGAAGAATCTTAATTCCATGTGTAAAAATATGTGAACTACTTCTATCGGCTGGAACTTTGTTTAGCTTTCTCCTTTGTCCAGTGTTTCCCATGTACCATGCTTGGAATGGTATATACAGTGGTATTTCTGACTTTTACGCAGAGACTGTATATTATCTCAATACAAGACATCTGTATTTTAAGGACATTGCACTACAAGGACTGGTTGTTAAATTGATTTTTAATTAATTAAATACTAAATGCAAAAATTATATCTATCTATCTATACACGACTCAAAAAAATTTAAGAAACGCTTTGAAAACACATCAGATCTCAATGGGGAAAAAGATCTTGCTCGATATCAATACTGATATGGACTGGGTATGTGTAAAGAAAGTAAGAATGCCCCATCGTTTGATGGAAATGAAAATTAGCAACCTACAGGAGGACTGAATTCAAAGACACCCAGAAAGTCAAAGTGAAAAAAATGATACAACAGGCTAATCCAGTTTGCTGAAATTTCATTGCAGCAACTCAAAATGGTACTTTTGTATGGCCCCCACATGTTGTATGCATGCCTGACAATGTAGCATGCCTGAGAATGTCAGGACATGCTCCTAATGAGATGGTGGATGGTGTCCTGGGGTATTTCCTCCCAGATCTGGACCAGGGCATCACTGAACTCATGGACAGTCTGAGGTGCAACCTGGCATTGTCGATTGGACCGAAATATGAGGATATCCCAGAGGTGTTCTATTGGATTTAGGTCAGGTGAGCGTGGGGGCCATTCAATGGTATCAATTCCTTCATCCTCCAGGAACTGCCTGCATACTCTCGCCACATGAGGCCAGACATTGTTGTGCACCAAGAAGAACCCAGGACCCACTGCACCAGCATAGGGGTCCGATAATGGGTCCAAGGATTTCATCCCACCTAGTGGCAGTCAGGGTGCCATTGTCTAGCCAGTAGAGGTCTGTGCGTCCCTCCAGGGTTTTGCTTCCCCAGACCATCACCGACCCACCACCAAAATGGTCAAGCTGAAGGGAAGCTTAACGTTTTCCATGCCTTCTCCAGATCCTTTCGTGTCCGTAACACGTGCTCAGGGTGAACCTGCTCTCATCTGTGAAAAGCACAGGGTGCCACTGGCGGACCTGCCAATGCTGATGTTTAATGGTAAATGCCAATCGAGCTCTATGGTGCCAGGCAGTGAGCACAGGGCCCATTGGAGGACATCGGGCCCTCAGACCACCCTCATGAAGTCTGTTTCTGATTGTTTGGTCAGAGACATTCACACCAGTGGCCTGCTGGAGGTCATTTTGTAGGGCTCTGGCAGTGCTCATCCTGTTCCTCCTTGAACAAAGGAGCAGATACCGGTCCTGCTGATGGGTTAAGGACCTTCTACGGCCCTGTCCAGCTCTCCTAGAGTAACTGTCTCCTGGAATCTCCTCCATGCTGTTGAGACTGTGCTGGGAGACACCAAACCTTCTGGCAATGGCACGTATTGATATGCCATCCTGGAGGAGTTGAACTGCCTGTGCAACCTCTGTAAAGTCCAGGTATCGCCTCATGCTACCAGCAGTGACACTGATCCTAGCCAACTGCAAAACTAGTGAAAAACAGTCAGAAAAGACAAGTATGAAAAAAAATTTCAGTGGCCTCCACCTGTAAAACCATTCCTGTTTTGGGGGTCGTTTCATTGTTGCCCATCTAGTGCACCTGCTGATAATTTCATTAACACCAAAGTAGCTGAAACTGATTAACAACCTCCTTTGCTACTTAACTGACCAGATCAATATCCAAGGAGTTTAACTGTTGATGCTATACTCTGATTAAAAAGAAAGTGTTACATTTTTTTGAGCAGTGTACTTTTATTTATTTATATCTTTTACTTTCACTTAAGTATTATTATTAGTAGTAGTAGTAGTATCACACCCTACCCTCAACTACCCTGTCCTCAATTGCCCCCTACTCCCTCCCCGCCCTCACCCCCCCCCCCCCCCCCCACACACCCCACACCTTCCAAACTACCCCTCTGCTTACTCTTCCTAGGCAATAGGTATTGGTAATTGGTGGTTCTTTGCATCCCTAATGCAAAGGTTTTCAGAATTCCCTTGCTGGGACTGTCCAAGACAATGCCAATCTCAAACAAACGTTCTCAGACCAATGTACATTTTTTTTAATCATTATACAACGTTGTCTTACAGTGACCAACCTCTCTGGAACCATATGGGTTAATACACAGGAACAGAGTGATGAAGTAGTACATAAACCCCATGCATGTCTGCTCTATACATATCTGACAGAGGTGAATTCATCCGCATCTACCACTTTCCTTGAGCCATTTAGGAAGAGCTGTCCAACGACCCAATATTTACTGTCAGGTTAAAAAGAGGGGGTGTTGAGGACACTGGCTGCTGCTTATTAACCACTTTGGTTTGGGCCCAATATTGGGTCTATGTAGGAAGGCTGCCTCCTGATGCTCAGTGGAAGAGAGAGGGTTTACCGGAGTCTGGCCAGCCTTGACTGAATAAATAAATCCAGGATCTGTCTGTACGTGGCAAGTCATTTCATCTGCAAGCTGCTGAAAGGTCTCAATTCATTCTCCAAGAAACCTCAACTAAACACAGCTGACTGCAAATAAAAACAGCACATTTTATATCCGCACTCAGCTTTAATTCTTCAGGAGGTAAATAAACGACTCGGCAAGGGCTTATAAGGAGTAATATAGAGGCCTGCAAATCTTTTTAGAATAGACATGCTATAAGGCCTACAGGTCCTGCAACACAGTGCATTAAGAGGTGTCCGAAACACTCACCTTCTCATAGTGCGTCTCCATGCATAGGAATATAGTATAGGCAGTGAGACAAGCAAGGCAGCCTTCCAGATATGACTGTCCCCCTAGCTTCTCTGCCTCAGCATACAAGTTGTTCAGTGTCCTCACAGTCTCCTCAAACTGCTGTCTGTCAATCTGGGAAAAGAGAGCGCAACAGTTAGGAAATTATCTTTTACTTTTTGTGCAAATCTATCATGCTATCCTTTATGGTTCTTACACGTCTTTACTGTTGGTAATAATATTTACCCTTGACGTTATCCCTCTGACTGACTGGCACATATTACATATGTCATGGCTGTACATGTTAATTTAATGATGTATATAATGCATCACTGGCAATTTAGAGAATTTACATTAACACACAAAAAAATTTTTCCCCAAAAAACTGCCAAACTATAATACAATACAGGTAGCTGCCAGCTGAAAACTCAATTATAAGCAAAGGTTTAATACTAAATGAGGTTTACAGGATAACTACATCTAACAGCTGTATTTAAAAAAATCACTTTATGAAAACAATAACCGTGTACTTTAACCACCAACCTGCCTTAATATTGGGCAATTCAAGGTTCAAGCGATGTAACATGGTTGTAAACCCTTACATATATCCAGTGAAGTGACTATCTACAGGTGATACACAGAGATTAAACAAATCCTCTTATAGAAGTTATACCTGTTTATATACAGCCCTCTATACTCTATATCTCCTTAAAGCACACACTTTACAAATTATTTCTAAATTCTACAAGGCAGGGGGAAGGGATCGGACTGCAAAAACTGCAGAGCACAGAGCCGAGTGTAATCTGAGGCCTGAGTGGAGGTAATCAACACACCCCCTCTATAAAATCTCAGGGAAACATGCACAGATCAAACACCTTCTGTGTGCTCGGGGTGGGACAGGTTGGGCCATCCTCTGGGATTCTGTGGTGTCGGAGGTGACTCATGCAGATAGAGAGAAAAGACAGCAGGTAGGAACCACGCTAAGTGTTTGGGATTGAGGCTAGTACAAACTATAAAAGAATATGCTTTGTTAATTTTTCATTTCAAATGTTTACAACCACTTTAATAGTCATGACATGTGGCAAGATAACAGTAGGCCTGAACTTGAAAAGTTACCATTTGCTATGTTTTAAGAAACATTATAAATTTTCTGTTTTAAAAATCTTAACTGCGCCAAAGGCATGCCAAAGATTATGCAATTTTCTTTCCTTCCACCGGGGTGAATCCCCCTGCAGCACTATTGTGTTCTGCCAGTGGGAAGTCTTCCCTGCCAGCAGTATACAATGATTAGTGTTGCTGGCTATAGCCAGCAGCACTAATCATTCAGGGAAAAACCTGATGGTTGTACACAAAACATTCGATAGATCGACTTGTGTACACCCAGGCGCCCATACATGGATGGAAATTTGGCATGTCTTTGCTGGTCAGCTTAAAGTGGACGTTAACTCCACTTTTTAACTTGTACCTACAGGCAAGCCTATAATAAGGCTTTCCTGTAAGTACAGTGAATATCTCCTAAAATTGCACTGTTAGGAGATATTCATTCACTCAGCATGCAGCCGGTGACATTACCGTCAGGAGTGACGTCATTGTGGCCCCCGGCCATTCATAAAACCACAGTCCACTAACCTGGAAGGAAAACCAGGTAAAGATGGATTCACCCAGGAGTTGTGACACCGCTGTGCTGGAGGGCTCCGTGTCCAGGTAAGCCTGTCACAATGTGCTAGTATGCTGTGCATACTCAAGATTGGCTGCTAAGGAAAACCGCACTGCATCAGTGTGAAGCAAAGGTTTGAAAGCACCTTTAAAGCAGAAGTAAAGTCAGGGATACTCACCTATTGTTCAACAGTCCAATGCTCGCGAGGTCCCTCACCGACATCTTCTCCATGGCATTGCATGTCCCTTCTGCAATAAACAGCCTGCCTGTTCACAGTTTTTAAAAAACGTTTAGCCTTTAGTTCCACTTTAAGCAGATATTTACCCAATGGTTTAATATTGGCTGTGTCACTACGGTATTTCAAGAGTGCCCATTGGAACTAACATTATTTAGCTGTATGCACTGGATCGGATTATGAATTGTATAAATCCAGTAACTTTCCGCATTTCCAGTGGCTTTCCATATCTCTGTAACATTTCCTGGGAGCACCCTGAAACTACATAAAGGTTTGCTGTGCTCCTATACATACTTACCTATTTAGAGATTCAATTGGTTGCATTGCTCTGCTGTTTCAAGGTCTACACCAAGACCTATGTTGATATTAACATATTACAAATCAGCCAGCATGCACACATTCTTACCAACTATGTATTGATTGAAATTACATTTATAATGATCAATATACGATGGCATCCAGTTGGATATGCTGATGCCTGGACATACGGTCAAGAGTGACATACAATACGCAGCAGTTTTGTTACCATCTAGCTTGACACCATAAAATCTTTTTAATTGTACGAGATTACATGTGGAGCTATTCTAGAGTCTGGCTGTATTTTTTGTATGGATTCTTGTTTTCTGAGTTTTGGTATGGGTCTAAACCTCAAAGGGGACCCCTCTTTATATCCAGATGAATGTTTTTATATAATAAATGTTTTAGATTTAGTATAGTCCAGGTGGTTATTCTTTGGACCATGTTTATTATTAAACCTTTGCTTAACTTTTTTATTAACAGAAACCATTTATAGGCATAAAGGCTCCTAAAATAAAAGAAGACGTTCATTTAAATTATTAGGCCTGTTTATACTGTAACAATCTTAAGACACATGCATAGATTTCATGGCTATCCATCCTTACACATACACTTTGTTCAGGCCATTACACGTTAGGGCTCCCACGTAAGCTCTCACCCCATGCTGAACCTCCTCTATCTATGGAGATAGTGTCTAATCAGTGCGCACATCTCTATAGCTCCATAGATAAACACTCCCAGGCAGACACAGGACACAGCTCTCTGTGTGGTAGGACATACAGCAGAGAGAGATCTGGACTGGAGAGAGCTGACCTGCAGAAGATGGGGCCTCGGCCATTTCTTTTGCAGCTTAAAGCCGAGCCAAAAAAATCAAATCAGACCTGGATTTTGTACAGAAAAATATTAGTTTTATGCATGTGATATAGAGAAGCCCTGAGGCAGCAAAGAACAAGGAATGTGAAGAACAGAGCATAAATGGTGGGAGAACTGATACATGATGGATTGCCTCCTTCCCTCTTTCTGAATCATGGCTGCTATTAAAAAGCAACATACTGCTCTCTGGAGACCTCAAATTACAGCTGGCTGCTGTTTTCTGCCTCATTCTCTACAACCTAGAATCACAGCGATAGCAGAAATGACACTGAAATGAAAAAAGGACATGACACTCTAAACTGGCCATTCAACGTACAAATTTCTTCTGGTTCCTGATGAACCAGCCAAAATGTGCCTAGTGGGTGGCCCTATCAGCCCCCTCCCATCAGACATCTTTCAATTGAAAACAGAAGGAGTTGGGCAGAAAAATGTTGGCCAAACAGTGGCTATATGCAATCCAAATCTTGCAGGAATGAAGACAGGTTAAAGTAGAACGATAGATTTTTTTTTTGCTATCTGTGTCCTTTTACAGAACTTTCCCTTCACTTCCTGTCCCATAGCCAAACAGGAAGTGAGAGGAAATCCCTGCAAAGTAAGGGGACCAGAACTAGGGTCCCCATTGGAAGATTTCCTCCTTTTCTCAGGACACCCCAAAATTTGGGATGTTCTTTTACTTTCACTTTTAATGATAATGGTGAATAGGACAAAGAAAGAGGGTGAATCTCAATTATGGGCGCACAGACAATAAAAACGGACAAGAGTTCTAATATCTGCACTCTATCCAAAACTAAAAAAAAAAAACAATTACCTTTAGTTATATACTCTTTCACTGCCATGACCACCATAGAAGGTGGGGGGTGTAAAGGGGTTAACATTCACTGCCACTGGCTAACAATGCTGGGGAATTGAATTTCACTAGCAATTACTACCAATGTGGGGGGGTTATTGCGTCCGCTGACACCGATGCCTGGAGTTCCTATTGCGTCCGCTGACACCGATGCCTGGAGTTCCTATTGCGTCCGCTGACACCGATGCCTGGAGTTCCTATTGCGTCCGCTGACACCGATGCCTGGAGTTCCTATTGCGTCCGCTGACACCGATGCCTGGAGTTCCTATTGCGTCCGCTGACACCGATGCCTGGAGTTCCTATTGCGTCCGCTGACACCGATGCCTGGAGTTCCTATTGCGTCCGCTGACACCGATGCCTGGAGTTCCTATTGCGTCCGCTGACACCGATGCCTGGAGTTCCTATTGCGTCCGCTGACACCGATGCCTGGAGTTCCTATTGCGTCCGCTGACACCGATGCCTGGAGTTCCTATTGCGTCCGCTGACACCGATGCCTGGAGTTCCTATTGCGTCCGCTGACACCGATGCCTGGAGTTCCTATTGCGTCCGCTGACACCGATGCCTGGAGTTCCTATTGCGTCCGCTGACACCGATGCCTGGAGTTCCTATTGCGTCCGCTGACACCGATGCCTGGAGTTCCTATTGCGTCCGCTGACACCGATGCCTGGAGTTCCTATTGCGTCCGCTGACACCGATGCCTGGAGTTCCTATTGCGTCCGCTGACACCGATGCCTGGAGTTCCTATTGCGTCCGCTGACACCGATGCCTGGAGTTCCTATTGCGTCCGCTGACACCGATGCCTGGAGTTCCTATTGCGTCCGCTGACACCGATGCCTGGAGTTCCTATTGCGTCCGCTGACACCGATGCCTGGAGTTCCTATTGCGTCCGCTGACACCGATGCCTGGAGTTCCTATTGCGTCCGCTGACACCGATGCCTGGAGTTCCTATTGCGTCCGCTGACACCGATGCCTGGAGTTCCTATTGCGTCCGCTGACACCAATGCCTGGAGTTCCTATTGCGTCCGCTGACACCAATGCCTGGAGTTCCTATTGCGTCCGCTGACACCAATGCCTGGAGTTCCTATTGCGTCCGCTGACACCGATGCCTGGAGTTCCTATTGCGTCCGTTGACACCGATGCCTGGAGTTCCTATTGCGTCCGCTGGCACCGATGCCTGGAGTTCCTATTGCGTCCGCTGACACCGATGCCTGGAGTTCCTATTGCGTCCGCTGACACCGATGCCTGGAGTTCCTATTGCGTCCGCTGACACCGATGCCTGGAGTTCCTATTGCGTCCGCTGACACCAATGCTGAGGGTTATTACTGCGATCACTGACACCAATGCTTGGAGTTCCTATTGCGACCGCTGACACCGATGCTAGGAGTTCCTATTGCGTCCACTGACACCGATGCTTGGAATTCCTACTGCATCCACTGACACCATTGCCAAGGGTTATTATTGCAATCACTGACGCCAATGCCGAGGGTAATTATTGCAATCACTAACACTAAATGCTAGGGGTTATTGTGCTCCAATTGATGTGCATTGCAATATGCTGCAAAACAAAATACAACAGGACCAAATGTTTTAGGGCACTGAGGTGTGAAAATGCATGGTTATTGTGTGGCCCTCTGGAAGAGTCAGGGGCCACACTTGACAACATCTATAATTTTCGTGTTGACCAGCCCCCTATGTAAGCAAACTATAGGGGCCCATGTTTAGAGAGTTCTTATTTCTGTAGTTCAAGGTATCACAAAACCCAGTTCCATACTGTAAAGCCTACAAATCAAGAGACGTTAATGAATTACCATTCTATACCAATAATGTAATACAATTGTAAGATCTGTGAAGATACAGGTATGTCACACTCCATGTAATAGTGTTGAGTATAAAATAACACAATGTACCAGCTGTGAGGGTGCAAATATGTAAAATACCTTATAATCACTGGGAAGATACAGGTTCAATAAATTTCTTGCAAGAATCTGAGCCTGATGAAGTAGAGGGTCACAAAATGATGATTGCAAAATAGGCTCAGTATGCACACATGGTCGCTATGTGCTGTCACCAAACATGCTGGGCTAAGGATTGCACACAAGCTTTGCGACAGCCTACTATGGCAGCTCACCTAGCAGGAAAGACGCGGCAAAGTGGTCACACAGTCTTTTTAAATAGTTCCGAAAATTTGACCAGCGATGGTGTTATCACCTCATGTGAACCAGGAAGGGCAGACCTCTTATCATCTGACCTCTTAGGTGAGCAATTTGCCAGAGCCATCCAATTTGTGTGGAACAAAATACAGCCCACAAGAGCTGTGGACGTGGTAAGTATACAGGGCTTAAAATTTCAAGTCCTGAGCTACTAGCCAGGCCTTAAGAGTTACTCGCCACCAACACACAAAAACAGAGACACCTGTACATACACACACAGAAACATGTACACACACGCGCACACACACAGATACATGTACATACACAGAAATATACAAACACACATGTACGTACACATACAGACACACATACATACACACAGACACATGTACAGATACACACATGTACATGCATACACAGGCACACACACACACCACCGCCCCATAAAAAGTTGCAGTACTTCGTTGTTCACTCACAGATCTGGGTACTGCACTCTAGGGGGAGGCAGAGAGCACAGCACACTCTCCTTGCTTTGCTTTCACTGCGCTCAGCTATTGAGCAGCCCGACGGCTCCCGGTGCCAATGACAGATCCAACCTGAGCTCCAAGCCTGCTCAGCAAGATGGCCCTGGGGGACACACTCGCCCCCACCATAATTTCCACTCGCCATTGGCAAGCAGGCGAGTGGAAATTTCAAGCCCTGGTATAGACTATAAAACAGCCTGTGTCTGTCGAGTCCAGTTCTCACAGAAATGGACCCCTGTGCAGATGCAAAATGATTACTTTACAACTGTCGGCAGCAGAGTGAATACAGCTCTGTTAAGAGTGGCTTGTCAGCGTAATCTTTCTATGAGATACAATGAAGATAAAGCACAGACCAGCATTTGTAAAAGCTCCCAAACTAAATATGCAGCTCTGCAACACAAGAGGAAAAAATAAACTTTGAAAATCCCCTTCTGAACAAAACGGCTATGGGTTGGCGGCAAATCAGAGTTTTCTTGTCAAATGATATTTTACACCATCAAAATATGGGCAGAAATCTAGGAAACTACATTCCTGTCAATATCACCCTCTCACATTAAATATCCTAGCTGAATATCCATAGCCCTGCCAGGAACGTTTTACTCAGTATCAGACAAATTTCATCCAAATCTTCATAAATCTCGAGCAAAGCTTTTTTTTCAAAGAAAAAGTCGCCAACTATCTTAAGAAAAACATAAAGAAGCTTTTCTTCAAGGTCTCCAGAATCCAGCAGCAGTCATTAAAGTATTCAGGCTAAGTTGTCTCCTTGAAACAGGTGGAAGTCATCCCTTGCAATGGCTTCTGGTCTATGTCAACAATTCTCAGCTTGCCAATTTGTAAAAGCCTATTCCGGACTATTAAAATTAAAAAAAAAAAAAAAGAAAGGTATGTTTCACAATGTAATTAGAACTATAAAATGTGCATACGTATTGGGCTTTGCCTACTGATATAAATGTCAGTTGTATGATATCCTACAATAAACCGTTAAAAAAAAAGTGTAAATGGCAGTTCAACACAACAGACAATATGCGAACACTTAAATCTGCTAGATGGCTACGCTGATCTTATCTGCTCCAAAAAAAAAATCACAATAAAAGTTGGAATCATGAACAATGCACAAGCAGCTCTAATGTCTTACAAACAAAAGAAGGAGAAAGTTGGAGGGCTGGTTAGCTGCTGACCAGCAAAGTGCACGAGACGGACAGTTCCCTGATAACTGTAAACTGCAATGGCCAGTGATAAAATATTGAAAGCCAGCTCCACCAACCATAGCAGTTAGGATCAGGTAAACGCAAGCCAAAATAGCTAAGCCCTTTTCAGCTTCTTGAGTAACACATTACAAGCTGCCAATATGTCCCAGTAGTCTGTGCTTAACGGATAAGTTCACCTTTTGACCAAAATTAATAAATGCATTTTTTTGCAGGTAAAAAAAAAATGTGCATTTATTATTTTGGATTGTAGGATCGCTGGTGCCATGCAGATCTCCTGCAGACCTGTTAATATTTCAGCTTTCCTGTGTGGATGTACGGGCAAGCAATGATTCTGACAGGAAGATTCAATGAACTACCACAGCACTCCACATTGCCATGGTAGTTCATTGAGAACTACAAGCTGACAGCCGCTAAGGCTACTCTGTTTTTGAAAACTGACAGCTAGTATGTGGAACTTCGCCCTGTACTGATGTCACGGGGGGAGAGCCCACGGGTGGCGGCTGCAGGATCAGGAACATGTTACACGCTCCACCTGTTTTTAGGGTGGAACATGTAACATGTTCCCAAAGGTGAGCTTATCCTTTAACCAAGAGGGAAATTTTGTAAAGATGACAGGTAGCTGCTGTAAAGGGAACCAATAGATATGTGGTCTTCCAAAGCTGGCCTCTCCCAAAAATGCTTACACCTTGGTAGTCATTCAGTTCATATGGTTTCAGTGGTTTGAGTCACTGACCTGTAACAAATGTGAAGACAGTAAAGTCAAAGCTCCTGATCTGCATCTTTAGAAACACAGAAAAGCGATGGCAGAAAAATGACTTAAGTGGTCCATTGAGTCTGCCCCCCCTCCCCTTTTTTTTTTAAAAAACTTTTTTTGTCTCAAGTATAGATCTATGTTTGTCCCAAGCATGTTTGACTCCACTTACTGTTGACTGACCCAATACCTGTGCTGGGAGTCTATTCCAACTATAATAACATAATATGTTCTAAGATTAGCTCCTGTTAGTTCGAGGTCATGTGCCCATGTTCGTGATCTTAGCTTCATATTGAAAATACTCCCCACCAAACCGTTTTCACTCCTCTGGTGTATTTTACAGTTTTAAACATGTCTCCCTCTTAAAGGGGGGGGGGGGGGCAACAGGCAGGATTTTTAATTCAAAAGAGATATGTTTTGTCTCTTCTGCATTAAAGCACAAAGTTACACAGCTGTCTGTTCAGCCCTGTAGAGTGAGCTCACTGTAGAAATTCAGCAATGCCAAAGCAGACTGCACTCCCACGCATGTCACCCCCATCCGGCCAATAAAAGCAGCTGGCAATTGGAACCCAAAAGCCAGCCAGTGGTAAGTGGCCAGTGGGGAGCTCTGGGATACTGCATCCCTGGATCCAAGGTGAGTATAGTCCATTGATTAGTAGAACATCCCTTCTCTCACTGGCATGTAATGGTTGCCACAAGGCAGAGTGAGATGGGCTTGGGTATCTGGCATTGCCAGCTTTTTGACAACTGTTTAAACCCAGTTCTCTCTTATGCTGGCTGGGGATACTGGAACTGCCAATACTCGACAGCTTTGCGGTGCTCTCACCTTTTCTTGTGCCGAATGTCAAGAACCTTACATGCAAGTGTGCTAATTTTATTGTTCCTAGGTTGTTCTTATCATGCTAATGAGGATCCAGCACTGCTTATCTTTTGTTGAAACAGCAGAAGTTTACATTTTCTTAGCACAGGTTCCCTTTAAACCCAACCAACTCAAACTATGCCTCAACCAATATAACAACTTTAAAAAGGCTCTGGAAGACCTATTATGCATATTCAGAATGTGGCTTGTACAAGTGTTGGCCTGCCACATCTCACACCTCACTAATGGTTACCAAGACTGTCCATCACATTGATGGGTCAATATCAAGGTACCAGGATGGGGTGGGGTATTTTACCACTTTGTAAGCAGAATATGACTTTACATAAATGTCCCAGGTCTTGGGGTTTCTAAGCAGGTTATGATAATACATTCATTTACTCAAAAACACCTTAAAACTTAGGAGGTGCCTACACACCTGCTACAACCTGCAGTTGTACCCCCCACTATGCGCAAATTCCACAGTTTGCTCATCTCACCCTGCTTCACACAAGTTTCTACTGGTCAGTGAGGCAGTCCATCACAGTGATGAGCCAATAGAACTGGGATGAAGAAGTGAGAAAGAGTTTTGTCCAAATTAGAACGGCCCAGTGTTTGGGCATGGAAAGATGGGTGGGGGTTACCTAGAAGTGAAGCTCCTACAGAAGATGAAATCAAATATTCTTGCTCTGCTAAACATTTGAAAGAAAATATTAGTGGAGTTCTGTTTTAATATTCCTCATTGGCAAGCATGAAAAGATTTTTGCCTATATACATACCCGGGTCTCCAGTTCAGAGGGGAACTTTGTTTGGAATTGACACAGCGTGCCATTGGTGTAGTCTCTCTGGATAAACACTTTACCGGCCACAGCCGCTTGCGGTCTCATTGCCACAATCTGCAAAAAATGTATAAACATACACTATTAGTGGACTGTACCGATATCAATGTTTAAAGAAGACATATACTGTTTAATTATGTGGGTATCTCTCATTAAGTAAAGAGATAAATGGAGGGGGCCAATGAAGATACTGGTTGCAGATCACTCAAAAAAGTGAAAGGTGCAGCAGCAGATGACCCATTATACAAATAAACTGTGCAAAATTATCTGCTCCATGTATTTTAGCAAATCCTACAGAGTACACCTCAAATTAACTATCAATACAAGATCAAAACTGCAGTTAGACATCTACAGTACACATCTGGCAACAGAAGCAGAAAATGCAGCATGAGCAGCACTTCGCTGAATAAATGAAAATGCAACTGACAGTCATCATGTCAAAGGCTCAGTGTCCCAAGTATGAAGCTATACCAGCACACCGTAAGAAAAATACAAAACAGCACATTTTTTTCCCAGCACCAAACAATGAAATGTTTTGAAGCCATCAAGGACCCCTTTCTTAGCCAGCTAAATGTTGCATTGTTTGGAGGCGAGTAAATGTCTTACTACTAAAGGTGTGCTGCTGATGTTTCAAACTTTGAACTACGCTTTTGACTGCACCATGCATCATTTTACTTCAGTACCCCTAATTATTTAAAGCAGTATTAAACCCAAAAGAAAACATTTAAAATTTTGCAGCTTACCAATTCTTAGATGTAATGGCTGCATTAGTTTTCGCTTTTAGGCTTGCTTTCTTCTATTTTTACCTTGTGATCCTAACAGTAAGCCTGATGTTTTTCAAAACAAGAAATTCTCTTACACATGTATCAGTTACATTGATGAGATAGACCATATAACATTGGCAGGGGTGCTTGCATCAACTTTTATTTATTCAAGTGACATCTTTGTCCCAAAAGAATTATATGTAACTGATTATAAAGTATTAGCTAGTTTGGTTTCAATTAGTTCTTCTATCTAAAACGAATACTCCCCCCTGACTGACAATGCTGCAGCCCGCGAACCCAGAAGGAAGACTAGGTGAAGATGGAAGCCTCTGCAGCAGCGACAGCGTGCCACGGAGGGGTTTGTTACAAGGAAAATCTTTATAACATGCTAGTGTGCAATGCAATGCTTATTAGCACATTATGCCCTTACCTTGCAGGGAGAAAGGTTTTTTTTTTTGTTTTGTTTTGTTTTTTTAAATCATCTGCTGATTAATGAAACATATATACTATAAGTAATTTAGTATATCTCTATTTAAAGCGGAGTTCCACTCACACTGTAAAAAAATAAAAGCCAGCAGCTACAAAAACTGTGGCTGCTGACTTTTCAAAAACAGCCACTCACCTGTCCCACGACGATCCCGCAGGGCCCCCACCGCAGCCCTTTCACCGGCCGTCTTGTATTCCAGGCGCCGGCATCTTCAGTGTGGGCACCTGGCAGTGACAGCTTGCAGCTTCACAGCCAGGTGCCCACTGCGCATGCGTGAGTAGCGCTGCGTTTCCTGAATGGCCCTGTCGTCTTCTGGGACCTGTCACGTGTCCCACAAAACTACAGGGAGGGAGGGTAGGAGGACAACTTCCGCTTTCGATCGCCTAGGCGATCACAGTGGAAGTGAGAGCGGGTACCTATCAATTTCTGGTACCCGCTACCCCCCCCCCCCCCCCCGCTCCCCAAAGGTGTCAATCCTTAATGGGGAGTGGGGGACCAATCTTTAAAGAGGAACTTCCCCTTCTGGGTGGAACTCCGCTTTAAACAGCTTCTTTGTATGCACACAGCTTTAAAGTATGTACACACCAAATCCTGGCTTCATTTTCAGAGGCAATAATTGCCAGTTGAAAGACTGGACATGCTACACACATCCTGTATACTTTGATTATTTTTTTTTTTGGGTATGTGTAGCACACCCAGTGTCCTCAACTGGTCCTCAGTGCACTCAAGGGTGTCGAACGATAAATTTCTCAGATTTACCCCTTTTTGGTCTGCTAAATACTGTATGCCATTGAAAGTGCTCAAAGAGAAATAAAAGTACTGTGAGTTGACAATTTCCTGTTCTCTCTGCCTCTGGACTTAGCATTGTTCCCTGTTATCTATGTGGACTACAAACCACCTATGTTATGGAGAAGAGAGGGAAGCGTTATGTAATCCTAACAATGCTTTTCCTAGCGTGACAACACTGCTCAGTACTACTGTCACCCTAGGACTGGAAGTTTGTTATTGGTAAAACTACCAGGTTGAAATAAAGGAAAAGTGTGATAAACGAAAAATAATGCAGACATTACATGTACTGCAAGCATCCCTAGTACTGTTTTTAGGTTTGCAACATTGAGCCTTCAATCATGTACTAGACAAGGGTATTCAATAAGCTCCTATACTTCCACCCACAACACAAAATCACAACTTTCTCCCTAGAAAGTATATAATCTAATAAATCCTTTTTGTGATATACATATAAATCCCCCCAAAAAAACTCCAACTATTAATATAATCAATATCACTTCAACTAAAATTGTGTTTAAATAAATCCACACGCAATTCCGTCTTAAAAAAAAAAACAGAAACCCCAACAAAAATTCAAAATAAAATAAAAATATAAAAAAATATAAAAAAATGTATATAATAAACCCAAAGTGTCCAAGTTCCAAATTTTTTCAATCCAGTAAAGCAGAAATTGATTCTAAGTACTCCATGATAACCTCAAAGAAAGGAAAAAAGAAAATTCATAGTGTATTACCCTTAAAAAAAATATATATATACTTCACTCTGTGCACAACACAAACACAAACACATAGACAAGGGTATTGTACATCTACGTGGACGCCAAGATGCAGAGTTTTTCTTAACACATGGCACTGCTTGAGTGCCTAATGCAGGTAGATTCTCTAATTTAGTTAGTCTTTGCACCTAAAAGACAGCTGGAAGAAGAGAACAGCATTTGTACTTCCAGTTCCATTTACAGGGAGTGATCTTGCATTTCTGGCAAGATCAACAGGTAATTTCTGTTCTTGATGAGAAATGTCTTGCCTGAAAAAAAAAGCCATCGCAGCCATCACATCCAAGGACTGGCGAGCACCAATATCTTTCCTTTTTTGTTTTTTGGGCCTAAACACACTTGAAGCCTGTACATATAGGGGTTTATTTACTAAAAGCTGGAGAGTCCAAAATCAGACTCCCTTCTGCATAGAAACCAATCAGCTTCTAACCTCAGCTTGTTCAATGAAGCTTTGGCAATGAAAACCTGGAAGCAGATTGGTTTCTATGCAGAAGGGAGTCTGATTTTGGACTCTCCAGCTTTAGTAAATAAACCCCATAGAGTCTGCCAATACAGACCATAAAAATATAAGAAAAAGATAGGGCTTGATTTAATTTGGTTTAGTAGACTCTCCATACCTTCTGATTAGTGACAATTGAAGGCATACTGCAAAGATGAACAAACTGGTAGAGTTCATAGGCAATAAGACTGCAGCAGCACATTCGCAATCTTGTCTTACAGCTCTGATCTGAGTGGGCCAGATATGACATTTGTTTTCAATTCTATCTCGATGCTGGAGAAGGTTTTGTTAGGGATACACAATATGGGCTTGCTATTTAGGCCAGGGGCTTGGGCCCAAAAGGACCATCCGTTGGACTATTGACCACTGTAGTTAATGGCAGATATTTGCTGGTCCATGGAGCCCATATCTTGTGAAAGGCATTGAACCTGAACTGAAAGATGTTCTATGCTGTAAACCCATTTAATTTTGATAACTATATCATTACTGATTGGGGTTCTTTGTATTTTCTGTCCAGATCTGCCACAACTGTCTCCTGAACAGCCGGAAATGTATACATAGGGCTGGGAGGAAGATCTGTAAGGTGCTATGGTGAAGAAATTGATATACCGTATTTTTCGCACCATAAGACGCACTTTTTTCCCCCCCAAAAAGGGGGGAAAATGTCAGTGCGTCTTATGGAGCGAATGTAAAGCGGCCGGTCCGGTATTTCTGCCCGCCACCAATGTCAGAATACCGGGCCGGCCGCTCAGCTGTTCTCTCCTGCAGGGCCTTACCTGTTCCTAGCTCCAGCGCTGCACAGTCTTCCCCCGCGCTGGCTTCTGTGACAGCCGGGTGCCCACTGCGCATGTGCTGCGCTTTGTGAATGATCCGGTGTCTTCTGGGACACATGAAAGGTCACAGAAGGCGCCGGGCCATTCACAAAGCGAAGCGCTTCTTGCACCTGCGCAGTGGGCACCCGGCTGTCACAGAAGCCGGCCCGGGAAGAAGAGGGAAGGCAACTCCGCGGAAGTGGGAGCGGGTACCTGTCAAATTCAGGTACCCGCTCCCCCTCCCTCCCCAAAGGTCAGCAGTCTCTGGTCATCCCCTTCACTGTCCGCAGTCTCTGGTCATTCCCTGCACTGTCCGCAGTCTCTGGTCATTCCCTGCACTGTCCGCAGTCTCTGGTCATCCCCTGTACTGTCTGCAGTCTCTGGTCATTCCCTGTACTATGTCCGCAGTCTCTGGTCATCAAACCCCTGTACTGTCTGCAGTCTCTGGTCATTCCCTGTACTGTGTCCGCAGTCTCTGGTCATCCCCTGTACTGTCTGCAGTCTCTGGTCATCCCCTGTACTGTCTGCAGTCTCTGGTCATACCCCTGTACTGTCTGCAGTCTCTGGTCATTCCCTGTACTGTCCGCAGTCTCTGGTCATTCCCTGCACTGTCCGCAGTCTCTGGTCATTCCCTGCACTGTGTCCGCAGTCTCTGGTCATTCCCTGCACTGTGTCCGCAGTCTCTGGTCATCTCCTGCACTGTGTCCGCAGTCTCTGGTCATCTCCTGCACTGTGTCCGCAGTCCCTGGTCATCTCCTGTACTGTGTCCGCAGTCTCTGGTCATCTCCTGTACTGTGTCCACAGTCTCTGGTCATCTCCTGTACTGTTTCTGCAGTCTCTGGTCATCTCCTGTACTATGTCCGCAGTCTCTGTCATCTCCTGTACTATACTGCAGTCTCTGGTCATCTCCTGTACTGTGTCCGCAGTCTCTGGT